CACAATAAAATTTGCTGCGCAAATAATTTAATAGCACTATATCACAGTGTAGAAGTTTATCATATACCTGTGTATGAACTTCACAATGGCCGATATATAAGTAAACAAGATGACTGTAATGTGTTAGTTATATATTCTTCACTTCGTCTATACAATAAATAAGAAATAGTTTGGTTGCAATAAAGTAGAATCACGTAACAGAATAGTTGTATAGTTGACAAAAACTGAATCCTGCACTGACGCAAATGTCCTATAGCGGCTGCAAGAGGCTTACACTTTTCTTGTATAACCTGCAGCCGTTATACAATCTCTTAAATGACTGAAGTGTCCTATTAGGTGTGCCCATTCCGCTCGTACTGTTCTAAGAGCGTTTTGCCAATGTTCTTATAGTATACAATGCTGTGTAAGGAATACTGTATAATCATTCTTGCAACTCTAATAGGAGTGATAATTGTTAGCCGGGTGACTATTAGTTATAGCTATAGGAACTGATCATTGCGATTGTTTGGTATCCTTTGGTATTCCAAACGCTCTTTGACATCACTTACGTTTATAGCACAATTCTTACGATTTATACGTACATATATATACGAGTTTTGTGACTTGTGACAAATCTAAGTATGAGTAAATATATTAGCTACACAGGTTGCACTTAAAAAGTGATTCATGTAAAGTAATTCTAATGTCATTTAGGTTTTTCGGGCTGTTGAGCCGTGGTCGGGTTGGATTTGATCCAGAGCTTTGAACCGAACAGAGCAACAGTTTTTTTCAATATTTGATTGGGCAGTTATATGATCGTATTTCCTAAAATGATTTGTTAACCGGCAACAATTATTTTGAATGCTTATAGTCTGTAGGCGAACATTCGATCTAAGCAAGGATAATACGTACGTAACTAACGGTTTACATACTCATTTATTTATGTTGAAACTGAGGAAGTTTTGATGATGCTGTTAACATGTTGGGTTAGTGGGTAATTGAACAGTAGTTGAAGGTTTCTCTCAGAAATGCTTGAAATAAGACTTGTAACGTTATTCAGCGGCAAATGTTAGTTGCAATGGAGTCTTCTCCAGCAGTACAATCAAGTGTTTTCATACACCTGGATCTCAAATTGACATAGTTATGGTGAATGTTAAGGCCTCATAATTTTCTAATGTCACTTATGAGTAAAATCAGAAAAAATGAGAATGAGAAATGAAGCGACGAGGAGAACAAAAATGGCAAAAAACGAAAGCAAAATATACTAAGTGACATATAAATCCGAACACCCAGTTTAAATGGTTTTATTTTAATTAAATTTTGTATAAGTACTTAATGAAGCATAATAAGTAAATGATAAAAATTTCAAAATGATTACACTGCTTTAAAGCCCTTTGAGCTTTAATGATGTGAGGATGCACCCTGATGTGCTACGCATTCTCCAACGCGCCTAGGCATGCTTCTGATCAGGTGGTCAATGTCCTCCTGTGGTATCTCATTCCAGGCAACCACCAACTCCTCTCGAAGTGCTTCTAGAGTCTGAGGACGTTGCAAATTGAGCAATCTCCTACCCATCATATCCCACACGTGCTCAATTGGGGATAAGTCGGGAGATCTTGGTGGCCATGGTAACAATGTGACATTATTATGTTGAAAGAAGTCTATTGTGACTCTTGCAGCATGTGGTCGGGCATTATCTTGTTGGAAAGTTGGATCTGCCAGGGTGTCACGATAGGGTAAAAGATGGGGTTCTAGAACTTCGTGGATATAACGCTGCGCGTTCATGTTACCTCTGATGAAGATTGAAGGTGACCTGGAACCATAAGCTATAGCACCCCAAACCATAACTCAAACAGTGTGATGAACATGTCTTTCAACAAAAAACTGTGGATTCCTCCTTTCACCACGTCGCCTTCTAACCCTGGCACGACCATCGTGCATGCCTAAACAAAATCGAGACTCGTCACTAAAGACAATACTGTTCCATTCCTGATCCCAGAGTGACCGTTGTCTGCACCACTCAAGGCGATTACGTCGGTGTTCTCGAGTTAAAGGGAGGACCCAGTGTGGCCGGTATGAAAACACGCCAAAACTTCTCATTCGTCGGTAAACACTTCGCATGCCAATAGGTCTTCCGTGTTCTGCAAACCATTCATTTGCAATGGACCTGGTAGTGGAGAAACGGTCCCTTAAGGCCAATAATCTCTGGCGGCGATCTTCACGGTCTGTTGTTCTACGGCGGCGTCCAGTACCCCTTACTCTTTGCGTACGGCTTTCTCGAAGCCATGCCTGAAAACACCTAACCACAGTGTCTACACTTCTTTGCACTCTAATTGCAATTGCCCGAAAAGAAAGTCCAGCTTCCCGAAGTCCCACTATACGGCCCCTATCAAACTCACTAAGTTGACGAAATCGTACAGGTCTCCGTTCTCTAGGCATCGTAACCGATCGTAAAGGATGTCAAGAACCAAAATCCGCCAACGCTGATTCTTTAATGCGGCTGAAATATTCATTTTTAGAGCGTTAGTGAATTAAAAAAAAGCAGTATAAAAACCGGAATGTCCAACTGATGAGGCTGAAAATTTTTTCACTTGTTATTTACAGTAAGATAAATACATTCACCAACTTTTATTAAAATAAAACCATTTAAACTGGGTGTTCGGATTTATATGTCACTTAGTATATAAAAACAAACGACAGCAAGAAAAAGAAACATATTGTCGTTGTCGGGAGGTTGTGTTCATGAGTTAAAAATGTTTTCAAACGTTGTATCACATAGTTCAGCAATTTATGTATTATGTATGTTACGTAACATGTGAAAATAAAATGGCAATGGATGATGAAGACAAAAAGGGTCATACAACTGAAAACTATAAACAGGTGTTTACTTAGTGGACACTAGATGTTCATCTACTGGAAAACTCTACTTTTTTCAGTTAAATGACTCTTTCGCACTTGTAGGAATCCCAACAGGTAGCTTCTCTGTCCTGAGCGGTTTCCCACTGACTTACTTACCTACTAACCAAGAAAATGATATCGAATAGTTAGATGATTCCGAAGTCTTAAAATAGAACATCCGCTCGAGTGTTCAACTACTGGTGCCATTACCATACTATGAAAATTTGCTCATTTTGACAGGAACCGTACGCTACGCAAAAGAAGACTCCAACAGTAGGAGCACCCTGTATAAGTACTAGCTCGATCTACTAGGCCCAATTTATTCAATTTCTGTTTCCATAATGCTATCCTTGTATTTTGTGTCTTAGGCACCCGTCAACCTCCGCCTTTGCCTTACCCTCCATGATTGTTCCGGAGCTGAATGTTTGATGAGATTAAGACGCAAACCATGTTTCGTCATCGTTTGCAATACATTTCATGCCGTTTGCTCATCTCTCATCCATCCAAACTACTCTGCTCTTCCCAATCTCCTATTTTGCATGTATGACTTCGACGGCAGCTAAATGCTCAGTCGTGCACGCGTTCTATCTCTCTATGTATTGTCCTTTGTCTTCTTGGACGTGCAAGCTTTACGAGATTGGGCGAAATAGATATTTTATGTACAATGAATTAGTTAGAAGTTTTTTTAAAAACCTGCCGATATTTACAAGAAGAAAATTCAAGATCAATAAGCCTTCTGATAGGCCAAACTTTGTAAAACATCTGTTCATCTAGACTATGATAGCATATTTGACTTAAATCTCATTAGAGGCTCAAATCGCTCAAAATGCGTTTTTTACACAGAAGCAGCCACGCAGGCAGAAGCCTAAAGACCAGGGCATCTCGAATGCTGTGAGGAGATTGAAGAAACTTTGCCAATCCGATTTTTGAACTGTCTAAGGTTAGCAGAACTGAGAAAAGTCTCCTCGGGTAGATTGTCGCACGCATTAAAAAAATCAAAAAATGTTCAATATTTCTTTGTCCGATAGGCATAAACCCTCCAACGACATCCTGGAATGTATTTCTGGATGGAATATTCTGGAGTTCTTCTTAACTATAGCAGTGTTAGGTTGTACTTCACATTGTACTTCACATCTACCACAGACTTGCAATAACAACGGTAATTTTGATGGTGCGACGAGGGAAAATGCAAACTGGTTGCATTTTCTTGAAATGAATTGATTGGTCCTAATTTATCCATGCAATATGGGCTTGTTCCACGTTATTAAAAACAGTATATTTTAATAAGTATTACCTATAAAGTTGAAAAAAAAATCAAAACTCGTTCCTACAGTCAGGTAAAAGCTGCTTGTGAACATCTAAACTGCCGAAATGGTCGTAAAACAGAAACATTGATAATTTTCTTTAAATTTACCATTTTAAAAATAGTTTTTAACAGTATCTAGCACTAAAACCGAAAACTACATAAGGATATTTTAACTGTACATTGCTGTTTGTTTTCGTACTGATATATATTCTTGTTACTGTCAACAAAAAATAACAAAACAAGTTTTTATCGCTGTTGCTGTGGATACGGCAGGGAATTACAATTATTTGTAGAGATATGCATCTTAGTGGGTTTGTGCTTAACTAATGATTAACTGTACCACCATTTTGCAGTAAGTAAAGGTAATGACTTTATATTCCAGGATTATAAAGTACCTACTCGTGAGGAGCTTCAAAATGATGTGCCACAAGACCCCAGTTTTCATATATTTTTCCCAAGATGGCGCCCAGCGCTCTCTTGACATTTTCATCTGTCAATTTTACTCTAAAATATGATAGCCACGCTTCTTATTTGTTGACCTAGTTGGCAAAGTCAGGATCGCCCAAGCTCTTCGCAACATTATGGAGTACAATACAAGCAATAAATATTTTCGGCAAGTTTGCACGGCAAACATACAGTAGGATAGGAAACGGGCGTTTCAGTTGGCCGAAACAGCGTTCAATTATAACTATCTCTTGTTTTAAAAGCTTATTATAATTTATTTCTGCACCTGGAGCAGGATTTCTGAAGGGAATCATAAGGCATGGCTCAATATCATAACCGTCATCGCCAAGTATTACAACATTTGCTTTATTTATTAGTTGTGATCTAGTGAATTTCTCCATATTCTGGAATCATGCAATGATCCAGGCCAACTGACATCAACACTTGTGAGCATCTCTCTGGAATCACAAGTGGCTTGCACATTTAAAGTAGGTTTCCCTTTTCGGTTGATATACTCATGGTTGGTAGTTGGAAACTTGATCCATTCGTTCGACTGTGCAACTATGCTGTTCACAACTCCATCCACAGACCGAGATACCGTTGCTTGACTAACACCAAGTTCCTGACCAATACCTTGCTGATATCCAGGCTGACCGAGATAGCGTAGCGATATCTTCATTTTATGAATACATCAAAGTGCTCCTCCTCGAGTTTCCTCATTTTTAACTAAAAATCTGTCCGCAAGCCATTGTACATTTGCTTCGTCGAACCGATATAATTTTTTGAAGTCACGACCAACTGAAGGGTAAACGATGTTTATACGTTTTAACATCCCTAACATCCTCAATTTCCGCCATCATCGTTTAACCACGTTTCGTTACGAAGTTGAGTCTCCTACTGACCACACTCAAAATTTTTGAAAGATATACTTCCTATGCCAAGTATAAGAATATCCTTTTACTTATGTCACTGCTTTGAAGGATATCCTTATACTCAAAAAGCAAAAGCATTTATTTCAAATTATTATAGATACCATCTGGAGGATTTCTTTAAAAATTTGCAAGGATATCCTTTGTTTTATGAATACGGCTCATGGTTTGGCAAGTTCATTTTCTTCATCATCCTCCCGTATGAAAGAAGACGGAAAACGCCTACGTTACCGGCTCAAAGCTGCTCGACGTTCTGCACAATGTACCACAAAAACTGGAGACCCATCTATCAGCCGGAATACAAGGTAGTCCCAGAGAACGGAACATCGCTGTCTGCGGTTGGTCGTAGTTACAGAAACAGAAAGCAAACATATCCGTTTCAGTGGGATTAGATACAAAACCTAACTACCTCGACCTTTTTATCGCTACCCAGTGCTCGACGCCATTGGCCGTAAGTATATTGCCGGTGCATGCATTTGCAAACAAACGCACTAACACTAAACCACATCGGCGGCAGACAGGTGAGGTAAGTGATTGAGCTTTCGGTACACGATATGGACATGTATGTATAAACTTCCAGGAAACTTGCTGGCTATATACGAGTATGACCCCGGCTTATTGTGATAAAGGGACCATCCTGGTGTATAATATGATAATGGAATCTACGCCAGACACACGCTTCACTTGCTGGACAACGCTTTTTAATGAAGTTTCGGTGTAGTTGCACGCTTTGGGTTTATGAGTCACGTCATACTTTGTTGCAAGTGGGGTAGTGCTTCTTATAAGAAGACAGGCTGCTACGGAACGAGGAAGCGAAATGCTAAGAAAGTTTGCGCCCAGTGTTTATTTAACTATACTAATTGACATATAAATCCGAACACCCAGTTTAAATGGTTTTATTTTAATAAAAGTTGGTGAATGTATTTATCTTACTGTAAATAACAAGTGAAAAAATTTCGGGCAATTGCAGTTAGAGTGCAAAGAAGTGTAGACACTGTGGTTAGGTGTTGTCAGGCATGGCTTCGAGAAGGCCGTACGCAAAGAGCAAGGGGCACTGGTCGCCGCCGTAGAACAACAGACCGTGAAGATCGCCGCCTAAGATTATTGGCCTTAAGGGACCGTTTCTCCACTACCAGGTCCACTGCAAATGAATGGTTTGTAGAACACGGAAGACCTATTGGCATGCGAAGTGTTTACCGACGAATGAGAAGTTTCGGCTTGTTTTCATACCGGCCACACTGGGTCCTCCCTGTAACTCGAGAACACCGACATAATCGCCTTGAGTGGTGCAGACAACGGTCACTCTGGGATCAGGAATGGAACAGTATTGTCTTTAGTGACGAGTCTCGATTTTGTTTAGGCATGCACGATGGTCGTGCCAGGGTTAGAAGGCGACGTGGTGAAAGGAGGAATCCACAGTTTTTTGTTGAAAGACATGTTCATCACACTGTTGGAGTTATGGTTTGGGGTGCTATAGCTTTTGGTTTCAGGTCACCTTTAATCTTCATCAGAGTTAACATGAACGCGCAGCGTTATATCCACGAAGTTCTAGAACCCGATCTTTTACCCTATCTTGACACCCTGGCAGATCCAACTTTCCAACAAGATAATGCCCGACCACATGTTGCAAGAGTCACAATAGACTTCTTTCAACATAATGATGTCACATTGTTACCATGGCCACCAAAATCTCCCGACTTATCCCCAATTGAGCACGTGTGGGATATGATGAGTAGGAGCTCAATTTGTAACGTCCTCCTCAGACTCTAGAAGCACTTTGAGAGGAGTTGGTGGTTGCCTGGAATGAGGTACCACAGGAGGACGTTGACCACCTGATCAGAAGCATGCCTAGGCGTATTGGAGAATGCGTAGCATATCAGGGTGCATCCACACATTATTAAAGGTCAAAGGGCTTTAAAGCAGTGCAATCATTTTGAAATTTTTATCATTTACTTATTATGCTTCATTAAGTACTTATACAAAATTTTATTGAAATAAAACCATTTAAACTGGGTGTTCGGATTTATATGTCACTTAGTATATTTTCGGCAAATAATCAGTGCGCTAATAGAACAGCAGACATATTTAATGAGCGACATGAGATCAGTAACGTGCATCGAAAATATGTTCTAGAACTTGTAGCTAAATTTCGGGAGACTGCGTCAGTCGCCAATAAAAAACGCAGCATTGCAAATCCCAGAAGGAACGAAGCAATAGAGGTGGGGGTTTAGGGCAAGTTTATGTAGATGCTACGTTTCCTAAATTTCCATTTCTCTACTTACTATACTTCGCTATATTTCTTAATATCAAAACATTATCAATTATTAATGTCTTAATAGCCATTTGCATTATTATGGAATTGTTCAAATGTAATTGATTTTTTTTTGCTCTAGCAGCTGTTTCTTTAAGGGGCAAGCTGATGTAGCCCTTTATTCTCTTAAAGCTTTTTGTTTGTAAACTTTTATATACTGTCTAATGAGGGTAATAAATATTATTATTATTAGAAAACGAAATCCAGCTTCCGATAAAATTGATATATCACAATTAGTTACAGCCATATTCACTTATGCCTTACTGCGTTGTGATGTTTGCCTCTAAAAGTGTATGTCTTGGGCACTCCCCCGTTCAAAGTAGAATTGTATTTCCATTTATCAGGAGTAAAATTGTGAGACAACTCCTAAATTGGAGTATACAAACGACCCGTAGTATATCCAATAAAGCCGGGACGATTGGAGCTAAATGCAAATACGGTTAGGATTTAGGACATCAAAATTAATCGAGTGATCTGTGCCCCATACCAAGTTGATCCGGCTTTCAATATCAAAGACCTCCTGTAGTTTTCTGTCGGTGTTTTCGTCGTAAATCACCGAAGACTGTCGATTGACAATTTCTATTAGCCGAGCGCGACAAATTAGCGGATTATTAGTTCTGCGATCAACTGGGGGTATTGGGGGCTAGGGGAGGTCGGGGGTACGGCAGGCACCGGGCGTCCAATTTAGAGGCCCAATAAAACTGCCAACGAAGCTGAGCTAGCAGTCGATTCACGCAGTGGCGGATTGTCATATATTCCTAAGACTGGGATTTTTTTTTTTGATGAATCCTCAGCGTGACAAAAATAAGGATCATAGGTGTATACAGGGTATCTCAGTTTATTGTTGCATAACTTTAAGATTCGATAGAAATTTTAAAATTAATGCATAAAGTCTATATAAACATGGGTCGAAAAATTCGTTTACTTTCTAAAATAGTTTTTTTAAATATTTCGAACAATATTTGATGTATAACAGTGAAAATTGCTATACATATAGGGTATTCTGGTACGACAAAACGAACCATTTTCGAAAAAATTTTCTAAGTGCAATTTTTGGCTTTTTTAGTAAGAAAACTGATTCTTGGTACTTTCCAACATAAAAAAGCTCTCTTGTGAATTTTCGTTATAGTTAGCCGCCTTTGAGATATTTCGAATTTTGAGGTTCGATGCATTTTTAATTATTTATGATAGAATAACGTTAAAAAGTCTGTATCTCGATAATTTTTAGTAGTAGGCTGTGCCTGCAAATATTTTTGAAATTGAAAGCAGAATAAGGTTAAACGTCAATTAGTTGACAGTTAGTTTTGTTGTCTGTTGAAAGCTGAAACGTTTTTTTGCAATTGTGAATGCACGAAATTTAGTATCTTTTACCTGTTTTTTTTTTGTAAGTTTTATAAAAATGCCATTTTTATTCTCCAATCAAGAGTTAGCGGATATTTATTTTGTGTATGGCTTTGTAAATGGAAACGCAGCAGAAGCAGCCAGAGAATACGCACGAAGATTTACAAAAAGACGACATCCAACTCGCTCAGTATTTGTAAGAGTGCATCGCCAAATAATTGAAAATGGTTTTGGAAATCTCCAAAGGGATCAAAACATAAATGTTCGTCAGCGCAGATTTACCCGTATGATTCTGCGTGAGTTTGATAGAGATCCGACTACAAGTGTTAGGAGAGCTTCTGGTGCCTTGGGAATTTCAGCAAGCCATGTTCACCGTGTTCTTAGAAATGACCATAGACGTCCTTACCATTTGCAACCTGTGCAAGGACTACAGCCAGGGGATGGAGAACGAAGAACTACACTTTGTCAGTGGATTCTTGATAGAACTGATAATAATAGGGAGTTTTTAAGTAACGTTTTATGGACCGATGAGTCATGCTTCACTAGACGTGGAGTGGTAAATTTTCATAATCAACATATTTACTCGCATGAAAATCCGCATGCAGTTCGGGAAAGAAATTTTCAGCATGAATTTAGTGTGAACGTGTGGATTGGTATCTAGCGTAATCGACTATTTGCACCCTACCTTTTGCCTGCAAGGTTAAATGCTGCAACCTTCTTGGAATTTTTAAAAGCTGAACATGCAAATATGTGGGATGATGTTATGTTAGATTTAAGAAGATTGGCCTGGTTCCGGCTTGATGGTTGTCTAGCTCATTATTCGAGAATAGTTAGAAACTGGCTGGACGAAAATTATCCAGAAAGATGGGTCGGCCGTGGAGGACCAGTCGCCTGGCCTCCACGATCCCCTGACCTAAATCCATCAGATTTCTTTGTGTGGGGATTTCTAAAAGAAAAAGTGTACCAGACTCCCGTAACCACAAGAGATATGCTAATAGACAGAATCAGGAATGCATGTGATGAAATAAGGCCTTATTTGAATAATGCTATACCACGTTTGGGTTTGCATTTCGAGCAACTACTTTAGATTTTGTATGT